GGGGGGGGAATGGTGGAAGCCGTTACTCACCGACTTCTGCTTCTGTTTGGCTGCGGCGGGACGGAAGAGGAAAGACAGGTGAGTTCAGAAGAGACATGCACGCCGATAGGACAGCGGAGCGAGCAGCCAGAAGGGGGCGCCGGGCGGGCGGGGGGGCGCAGCGGAGCCGGGCGGGGTTTAGTCTGAGCCGCCCGGCGAGAGAGGGCGGTCAGGAGTTTACCTTCTTAAAGAAGGGCATTCGTTTCTCTTTTGCTAGGGGGGACGTGACAGTGTTGGGACTGGCTTTGGGGGGGCGCAGGTGGACCGGGAGCTCATTGTCCTCGGGGTCTAAGCCTGTGGCATCTATGTCCACGGCTACCCGCCCACACGGACAGGAGGCAAACACAGAAACGTCAATATTTATTGGGAAACGTGGGAAAAATCAAGTGAATTTCACCTTCAGTTTATTCCACCAGTTAACTCATTGGCTGCCAAAGACGTCTATAGACGTCTTTTATGTTTTTCAACGCGAGTGGCTGGGGGACGATCTGCTAAAGCTTGTCCGTAAATATCAGGCTTCTAGACAGAGTATGTAGTAACAAATTGACCCTCTAGGGGGCAGTGCCACTTTTGATGGGAGATGAGCATAGACTGTAGGCAAATAAGAAAAAGGTAACGGTTTGCTATGAGAGAACATGTCGCCTTTGAGACGCAAGTCGAGGAAGAACGGAATAAGGTAGAAACAATTTTTTTTTCCTGATGAAAGAAGAGAGTCTACTCTTTCTTTTGGTGTGTTCGGTGTTTACATAATCATAGCACAAACTATTCTGTGGCTCTTGAAAAATATGTCAAAATGCTAAAAAAACTCTGGCAGTCAATGAGTTAAATTTTGATTTAAATGTTGATTTAAACAAAGACAGGATAAGTTTAAAGTTCAACTCTGTGGGATTTCTTACCAGACGAAGGAGGAGTAGATTTCCGTGAGTTGGGAACGACTTCCCCCAGGCTGGAGGATGAGTTGGCTCCAAGTTTACTGAGACGGGAAAG